GGATTNCTGGTATAAGAAAGAGAGAAAGAAACAAGAAAGAAGAAGAAAAAGATTAGGGAGAGAGACACTAACGGAGGCATGGACGGAATGTCACCTCCTAGTAATTTTTCGGATAATTTAAGGTACCCTAGAGTATATTTTAAAAAATATTGGGACCTGGCAGTTCTTATCATAAAATTAAGGGCACCCAGCAGTAATTTTTTCCAAATAAAAATAGTGAAATTAAAGTAAATAATACTAAAACATACTCCCTTCGTTCTCAAAAAGAGTTCTTTGAAAAAGTGGAAAAATAAGGAAGTGTTAAATTGTAGTTTACTTCCAATTTTGCCCTTGATGTGATGGGTAAAAGTAAGATGTGATGGGTAGATTATTAGAGAAAAAGTATGATGTGATAGGTAGGGTATGAAAAAGTAAGGGTTAAAGTGGTTTTTTAATAGAAAGTGGAAGTGTTTTGTTGGAAGTGAAAAAAAATGAAAGAGGAAAAGGTTTTGAGAACGGAGTGAGTATATCATTTTTAATGTACTCCCTCCGTCCCTGAAAACCTTTCTCCTTTCTTTTTTCATCCGTCCCAAAAAACACTTCTCATTTATACTAAAAAGTCACTTTTACCCCTTACTTTTTCATACCCTACATATCACATCATATTTTTTACTAATAATGTATCTATCAAATCATACTTTTACCCATCACATCAAAGGACATTTTTGAAAATTCAATACAAAAATACACTCTCCTTAAATCTTACTTCAAAATCAAAACTCTCATGTTTTTCGGGACGGAGGGAGTAGTATTTACACTTATATTTTTTAAATAGTACTTGGATAATGTCTAGTGGCGGAAACAATATTCAGTGATGGTGGACATTTATGTCAAACAATGCCCAATGGCGACAGACAAATTTTTTTGAACAATGACCAGTGGACAGTGACTAGTACTACTACATTGAGAAATAAAAAAATATAATATTACATTAGAAAAATTACTATATTTTAGTACTATTTAAGTAAATTCTCCATACAGATAACACTTCCAATTACTATGCCTTTATTAACATACGTAATGTTAGTGTGTTCGGAAAAGAACAATACTTTTATGTACTACCTCCGTTTCTCAAAAGAGTTCCTCTTTTGACTTTGGGGGAAAATAATGAAGTGTTAAATTGTAGTTGACTTTCCAATTTTGCCCTTGATGTGATGGGTGAAAGTAAGATGTGATAGTTTAGTTGTTAGTGAAAAAGTATGATTTGATAGGTAGGGTATGAAAAAGTAGGGGTAAAAGTGGTTTTTCAATATAAAGGGGAAGTGTTTTAAGAAAAACAAAAAAAATGAAAGAGGAAGAATTTTAAGAAACGGAGGGAGTAGTACGGAGTATATGGCTAATTAGTACGGAGTAATTACGGAGTACTTTTTTACAAAATAATTACTTTTTTAATAAAAGAATTATTTAAAAAACAGTTGGTTATATACTCCTTAAAAGTATTCTTTTAAAATAATTATTTAAATAATTAAGATTAAAATATCAAAATTTATATCAAAATAATATTTTCTATATTTTTTTCTTAATAATTAGAGTGTTGACACTTAAAAGTTAAAACGAAACAATTTAGCATTGTGTGTTATCATTTTAATTTTTTGCATATACTACGTACTTATTTGCAGACACGTGTGTCTAGAAAGAAAGAAACTAAATAGACCTTGCCGAAATGGTGAAAAATGATCATAGGGTATGTATGTGCAACACTTTGAAAGCCACAAAAATTTCATAAATAAATTTTGAAAATGAAGGAGATATTGATGCCTAGTTATTTCTTAAGAAATATTTGCACTAAATAGCAATAAAACTTAAGTCATTTCTCTAAATAGCACTTAAACAGTTTTATTTTCTAAATAGCACTTAATAATGTCCATACTGTCCAGTGATGACGAATATTTACTTGAATAATGACTAATGCATAATGACTAAAAGTGCTACATTGGAAAGAAAAACACATGTAGTGCTATTCAGGGAAAGACATTATATTTTAGTACTCCCTCCGTTTGGAAAAAACACTTCTCATTTGGATTTGGGGCAAAAATAAGGAAGTGTTAAATTATAGTTGATTTCCAATTTTGCCCCTGATGTGATGGGTAAAAGTAAGATGTGATGGATAGATTATTAGAGAAAAAGTATGATGTGATATGTAGGGTATGAAAAAGTAAGGGTAAAAGTGGTTTTTTAATGGAAAATGGAAGTGTTTTGTTGAAAGTGGAAAAAATGAAGGACCATGCTACACTTACACCAAAAAATATACCCCATTTGTACACCACAGGTTTGCACAAACATTTTGATGGTTTACACCGACACAAGTGTTGGTGCGTTAATAAAAATTCACACTGACACAAATGTTGGTGCGTTTAACAAAAATTAGTTTTACACCAACACAAAGTGTTGGTGCAAAACTGCGGGGTACAAATTGGGGTATATATAAACCTTGGGGTACACATAGCATAATCCAAAAATGAAAGAGGAAGTATTTTTGAGAACGGAGGGAGTATAAATTGCTCATTTCTTAAACCAAAGGGAGTACGTGTTGGAGCTATTTTCCCATACTTTATTATTCACGTTTTTGTTACACTTTTGGATGTATTATTTAAACGTTGAAAATGTCAGCTCCTTTTAGTAATTTAACTCCAAAGTCAAAATCAACTTGTGTGGTGCAATTGATGGGGGTATGGGGTGTGTTCGGGTCGGGGCCAGGTGGGGTGGTTTACCAGGAGGTTAGAGGGATTAGGAATCGTTAATTTTATGAACGGGGCACCAGAGCGGCCCCGGGTCATCCCATGACATTGGATTCCAATGTCATGGGAACCCCACCCTTTAAAAAATCTCCACTAATACCCAAAAATTTAAGAATTAACTTGCGTCAAATAAACAAGGTATTTAAAACTTTTTTTTGGAACGGAGCTACTACCAATATGTGTTTGGGTACCTCATTTTCAGCTCAACCGGCTTAGCTTTGACGTATCATTATCGGATCATGCATGATTGAAAGAAAATTAATTAAGGGTGTAGGGCATCTACTAAAATAAAACTTTTATATTTTTATTCTCGAAATAGAAGTTAAAATTCATTTATATTACCAAAAAGTATAGTATAATGCATATGTACAGTGTCACATTATCACAGCGTAAATTCTTATTTGGGGAATAAAAACATGGAGTTTTTATTTTGATACTTTTTTTTATGTTTTACTCTTACTAAGGGTGATTTCCCTACGGTTTATTAAAAAATAAAGGGTAATTTATGCAAATGAAAATTAAACATATCATTTTCTTCAAGTAGAACCTGTCATATTTACTATAACGTTTGACAATGGAAATTTTTAAAATGTCATGTTTTTGAAAAAAATGATCTATAACGCAATTCAAGTAGAATAAGTCCTTATAAAAACAATTTGAATAATCATTGAAATAGTTAGTCATTATCCAACACTTGTTGCTAATGACCAATACATAAAGTCATTTATATAATCAGTTATTATCCAATATTTGTTGCTAATGAGATCATATATAGTAGCTAGATTATCCAATAATGTGTCATAAAGAGAATAAAACATAATGTACTACTCCCTCCGTCCTATAATGATCTTTTCGGTTCGCAAAACGAAGAAAAATCTCAAGTTTTTTCAATCTATTTTATTTAAATATTGGTATAGAAATAAAAAATAAAACATACATATTTAAAAACTACACCAAAAGTTCAACAAAACAAGTTGTGACAAGAATATTTTATTTTATCATGTAGGCCATGAAAAAACACAAATAAATATAAATTTCCGTAAAATTAGAATATTGCTCTAGGAAAATCATTATAGGACGGAGGGAGTATCTTTTAGTTCTATATTGAGCAATTTTTTTAAAAAGAAAAGGATATCCCTCTACCCCAAAGTTAGAGAGTACCAGTCTCGACACTACTAGACCACCGTAGGCGAAATTAAATTTACTTACTCCATAATTTTGTATAAAAAAGGTAAACAACTACTCACTTTTTTTTGTTGTCCCGAAAAATTCTATATTAAAAAATTACTTTTATGTTGAGTAATTCTTATTTATCCTACCTATCACTTCATATCTTTTTATTAATAATCTACCCATCATATTCTTTTTATCAATCATATCAAAAGTATTTTTTAAAAGTCAACACAAAAATATCTTTTCTTAAATTCTCTAAAAGTCAAATTGAGAATGAACATCTCTATGGAACGAAGGAACTATTGTTTTTCTTTTTCACCTATGATAGGATTGGACCCCCATTAATGTAACATAGCATTACCTTATCCACGGATAGAATTTAGGATAGGTAAGGATCACTAGACTAGGACATCCTCCCTACGTTTCAATAAATCCTCCCCTTTTTTATTTTTAGCCAAACTAAAGAAAGTATATTTATAGTTGAGTTTCTAATTTTTACTTTTGATGTGATGGGTACGTAAAATTAAGTTCTGATAGTTAGATTATTAATAAAAAAATATGATGTGATAGGTAGAGTATGAAAAAATAATGGTAAAAATAATTATTTTTTAATAGAGAGTAGAAGTATTTTGGAGAAAATAGAAAAAAAGAAAGAAGAAAGGTTTATTGAAATGAAGGGAGTAAGAGGATGTTTAGGAATGATTAGCTTATGGATAAAGTGATTTCTACAAAAGCTGAAAGCAAAAGCACCTCATACCTGCTTCTCCGAAACGGTGTTCCATGTACAAAATAATGTTGGTGAAAAGGAGAAGCTGACATGCCAAACAGAGTAAAATCACTTCCACTAAAAAAGAAGCTAAATTGTTAAAAACAGCGCACTGCCAAACACCCTCTAAGACATTTGGGTTGAACCGTGTTAAAAAATTGAACTTAATCAATTAATGAGTGCAAGTCAAGAGCTAATGATAAACTTGTTAGGTATATCTATTAAATGAAAACCTATGTACCTAGCTAGCTATATATACTATACGTACCTAGCTAGTAGGTAGGTAGTATTTATACATAATATTAGGCAAATGAAATAAACATCACACGGAGTCCTCCATATACATTCATCGAGAGCTTTAAGCATGAGTGGTGGATTATGGACGATGGATGAATATGAACATGATGATGATGATGATGAGTCATCATATGATGATGATGATGGCGAGGTAGTGCAACCAGCGAGTCCTGCTGCACAGTACATGAACAGCAAAGTGTTGTCCCTCTGCATCATTGCTGTTCTGGAGACAAAAGTTGCCCTCCATCTCCATGAACCCCATCTCCTTTCCACTGTAAAGGATGTCTTCTTGCCCATCTGTCCTAGGTTTTCCTCTATCATGGTACATGTTCAAATATTGGAATATTAATATTGCTCATTGAATTATGGAGTACATGATAGTGTATATATAGGAGAGACTCCTAACACAACTAGGAATAGAGAATGGAAACTAACTAACATACAACATCTACCACAAATAGGATTAGGAAACTGACTAATAATGAAACACTACCATAACCAATACTAGAAGAAGTACTATTAATATTATTGTCAAACATCCCCCCTCAAGCTGAACTCTAGCTGAAGCAAGAGGAAGCTTGGACACTAGCTGGAAACAGGAAACTTTGAGAAGAGAGAAGTCTAACATGCACCGGTGGCTTCTCACATCGTTGGAGAAGAGAGAAGTGTGACGCGCGCCGGTGGCTGCTGACGTCGTTGGAGAAGAGAGAAATCTGACGTGCGCCGGTGGCTGCTGACGTCGTTGGAGAAGAGAGAAGCCTGATGTACGTGCACTGGTAGCTGCTAACGTCGTGGGAGAAGAGAGAAATTGACGTGTGCTAGTAGCTGCTGATGTCGATGAAGAGGAGAGAAGGTTGACGTGCGCTTGTAGCTGCTGACGTCGAAAAAGAATAGAGAAAGCTATTGGAGGTGCCTGTTTGACTGAAGATCTTTGACATTTTTTGTCTTTTTCTTGGATCCGGGCAATGCCCTATTTCCTTCTTGAAGGGGTGAGTTGTAGAGGTCTTATTTCCTCTTTCACTACTTCCCCTCTTGGCTTTGCTTTTGTGCTGATTTACTTTGGATTTTTTAATGATTCAACACAAGAGAAAGAGAAGGGAGGTTGATGATTGGAATAAGTGATTTTAGAGAGAAAAAGTAGGTTAAGAATTGGTGATGGAAAAAAATTTGGGTTTGAGATTTTGATGTGGTGAATTGGAGAGAAACAACAATCATTTTTTTTCCTTTTTTTTAGATCTGAGAGAGTTTGTGAGGTGTTGAGTTTTTTTTGAAGAACCATGGAGGTGACAAGAGAGAAGTTCCTCATTCGATAGTTTTTTTTATGTGATTTCAATAGGAGTTTTTTTCTTTTTTTTCATTTGAATGGAGAAGTTGATTTGAAGATAAAGAAGGAAAAGAAAATAGAGGTGAATAGGGTGGAGCCGCCGTCGCTGGAATTACCAGCGGCGGCGGCGGTGAGAGCAAAAAACTTTTTTTTTAGGTCACCAAGAGCGGTGGCTCTGATACCATGTTGAAATATTGGAATATTAATATTGCTCATTGAATTATGGAGTACATGATAGTGTATATATAGGAGAGACTCCTAACACAACTAGGAATAGAGAATGGAAACTAACTAACATACAACATCTACCACAAATAGGATTAGGAAGCTGACTAATAATGAAACACTACCATAACCAATACGTACGTATAGTAATGCATGCCGGCCTCCTTTCTTTTGGTTGCCTGTTCTACTCCCTACTTAATTACTCACTCCATCCGGAAATATAATTCTTACTTTTCATTTATGTAGCTCCTAGTTTCTTTCAAAATCTTAACATACCGTCCAACGTCTCCCACATCATTATTTGTCAGAATTTTAATGGACGTAGTGTCTTGTAAAAGTAATTAATAACTTGCATATAAAGTTGAGATTCAATTGATGCATACGGAGCTCCAACGTTTTTCTTTCAATTTAGCTTGATTTAGTCAAACTTGGCAGGTATAGAGAGAGCTTTGTAGGATAGATAAACCTAATAAATGAAAGAGAAATTTACGTAAATAGCATTAAAACATAATGACTTTCTCTAAATAGGACTACATGTGTTTTTTTCCCAATGTAACATTTTTAGTCATTATCCATTAGTTATTATTTAAATAAATATTTGTCATCACTCGTCATTATGGACATTATTAAGTGCTATTTAGGAAATAAAACAGTTTAACTGCTATTTAGAGAAATGGCTTAAGTTTTAGTGCATTTTAGTGAAAATATTTCTAAATGAAATCATCATTTTTGTACTAGTATCCAATGAATTTTTTTTATACTTCTCCGCTTCAATAAACCCTTCTTCTTCATTCTTTTCCATTATCTTAAATCACTTCCACTTTATATTAAAAAACTACCTTTATCCCTAATTTATTATACCCTACCTATTACATTATACTTTTTCAGTAATAGTATAACTATCATATCAGAGTCAAAATTGGAAAAACAACCATAAATGTACTTCCCTTATTTTGCAAGTGAATATAGGAATTGAGCCTTTAAGGAAAGGGATGGAGTAATTGATAATCAAAATATATTTTGTTTGGTTTTACTTGAAAAAAAAAATAAATTAACAGGTTAGCCAGGCAAACGGGGAGAAGAAATGGAAACGGGTAGAGGTAAATGTTGCCGACCACCTCCAGTTCCCGACATATCCGTCCGGAAGGGAACCGGAATATTACGACGAGCGTCTGTCGGAGTATCTGACAAAGATCTCCATGGATCCGTTGCCACAAACACGCCCGTTATGGGAAATTCACATCTTCGGTTACCCGACGAGCGACGCCCCCGGGAGCTTCATCTTCAAGCTCCACCACTCGCTCGGAGACGGGTACTCGTTGATGGGTGCTCTTCTCTCCCTCCTTAAAAGGGCCGATAACCCGGCGCTTCCCATGACGCTCCCTCGCCGGGTGAGCAGTCAACCGGCGAGGGGGCACCACCTCCGACAAATCAAAACCAATCTTAACGTGGTAAGGGCCGTCATAGAACAAAGTCAACAAACCCCATTGACATTGGTGTAATGTCATATTATGACTTCCCACACCTACAAGGCTACAACCACTCATATGTAAAATTGAAAAACTACTTTCCAAAAAATATTTTTCCAAAAAATATGATTTTCAATATATGAAATTATTTTCTAATCATATTTCTCGTTGTTTGGTAGAAAAGAAAGTATTTCGTTTAAAAATTGTTTTTTTATTAATAGAAAAATTTACATAAATAACATTAAAACATAATGACTTTTTCTAAATAACATCACATGTGTTTTTTTTCAATGTAGCACTTTTAGTCATTATTCAAGTAAATTTTTGCCATCACCGGACATTATAGACATTATTAGGTGTTATTTAGAGAATAAAACAATTTAAGTACTATTTAGGAAAATGACTTAAGTTTTAGTACTGTTTAATGCAAATATTTCTTATTAATATTCAAAAATTAAAATGCCAAACTTATCGATTCTAGATTTTAAATTCTATAACACAAGAAAATAATTTGAAATCCATAAAATGAATTCTACGGATCGGATCAAACAATACACCATAAATATGGGGAGACGTGGGAAACATAAGAGCATGAGCAGCGGCGAGGGGTGTGAGTGCCTCGCCCTGCCAACTAAGCTTTCTCTTCCAAAACCGTGGCATGACATCCCATTTTTTACTTGGCTTGCGAGTAATCTGCGAGGCAAATTTTTTTCTTTTTGTTTTTCTTTTTTAATTTTTTGATTTTTTATTTTGTAGAAGAAAATAGCTTTGCTTTTTAATAGAGTATGTATATCTATTTTTGTAAAAAAAAGATAAATTACAATTTTTTTAATAATTAATATACATAAAAAAAGATTAAAAAGTGTAAAAAATAATGACTTGCCACTGCATAGCATGCCACTCCGCTCATTTACCACACGCTGACTAAGATGTTTTTGATTGGTTCAAATTTTTCACATCACCGTGTGGCATTCCATTTTTGCCTCACCATTGTACATGCTCTAAATGTTACATGTGTGGCACCATTGGTACTCGATGTCAAAAAAAATAAATCGCGCGTGGTGTATAATCTAATACTCCGTAGGACCGTATCAAATCTATTTAAGTATTTAATAATTCCCAAAATTTATCATTTTTATTAGGAAAAGTCTAAACTAAACAAACACTTGGAAACTATTTGACAATTAAATATATATACTTTGATTATTTGAAGACTATAAACGACGTGATAACGGGGATAGTGACTTACGGGACGAGGCTATACATGCAAGAGATGGAGAGAGAGACATGCAACGGGAGGTGCACTTCCCTGGTGCTCTTCAACACCCGGGCTATCGGAGGCTACAAGACGGTGGCGGAGATGATCAAACCAAACGCCGAAATGCCTTGGGGCAACCGCTTCACTTTCCTTCCTCTCGCCATTCCCAAACTCCCTCCGGCGGCGGCAGCGGCGGATCCCCTTCGGTTTGTCTTCGAAGCCCATCGTGTGGTCAGGATGCAAATGTATTCCGCTTCGGTTTATCTCAATGCCCAACTCCTCGAATTCTCCAGGAAGCTCAGAGGCCCTGAGGTATGTGTGTATGTATATCATATATAGTGTGTGTCTATATATATATATATATATGGATTGACTTCAGTCAGATGATATGCTACGGTCAGATGACGTAAAACTCACCACTGGCTACTGCAAAGCTTACCAAGGACAACTACAAAGCTAACCAAACTCTAAGACAAAGCTCACCATATTTTTTAAACACTTTGAATTTTTTTAAAAAAAATCAAAGGAAGGAGTGCTGACTAGACTTTGACCATTGACCGTTGACCATCACCGGCGACCCCCTGCCACCGCCGGCCGCCGACCACCGCCGCCGGCCGCCGCCGCTGGTCTCCGCCGCGCCGTCGCCGCTGACCGGTGGTTGACCAGTGTTGCTATTTTATTTTTTATTAATTTTTTAATTTTCAAAATTAAAAAAAGATGAGTTTTGATGTTCAAAGTGGTGAGCTTTGCTTTATTTCCAGGTGGGCTTTACATTGGCCATTGGTGAGCTTTGCAGTGTAATGTGGTGAGCTTTGCGTCATCTTACCGAAGTATGTCATCTCACCGTAAGGTGTCATCTCACTGGAGTCAATACATATACATACATACATACATACATACATACATACATACATACATACATATATATATGTATGTATGTATGTATATGTATGTATGTATATGTATGTATGTATGTATGTATATGTATGTATGTGTGTGTGTGTGTGTGTGTCTAGAATCGTTTTACATATTTAATCCATACATATCAAATATTACTAATTTAGTCCCCAATTATTATACTACCTCCGTCCTAAAAAGATTCACACGTTTTGACTAAAGGAGTGTGAATTTGCAATTTTAGGAGAAAAAGGAGTGCGAGAGGAGGGGGGAAACTTAATTGAGGTGAAAAAGGAGTTTGAATTTACAATTTTATTCACGTTCTTAACGGAAATGTTAACAAAGGATCATTCGTGGAAATGAATATAATAATTGAAGGCTAAATTAGTAATATTTGATATGTATGGACTAAATATGTAAAGCAACTTATAACTGGGACCTTTTATGGAATTTACTCATATATACTCCCTTTGTCCCGTTTTAAATCGCCTGTTTTGACTTTTGGGCATATTTAAGGAAAGGAAAAAATAGAATTGATTTTTCGAAATTGTCATTACTTTTTAGAAGGGGTGACTATGAATTAAAAGATAAGGTGAAGAAAGGTGACTTATTTTAGGGGTAGTTTAGGTATTTTATTTTTAAAAATTTACAATAACAACTAACAGGCAACTTATTTTGGGACAGAGAAAAAGGCAAACATGCAATTTAAATTAGGACAGAGGGAGTATATATATATAGACACACACACATATTAAAACTCGATATCTATTTTAACTTTTTTCTCATGCCATGAATACAAATAACTTTTAGAGTTTTACATGACTTATAGTTACAAGTTTGAGTTTCTATATTCTTGTTAGAACATTGTTTGATGATTTAAAAACCTTTTCTAGATTATAATCATAAGGGTGAGCTTTTTATTGGCATAGTTTAGTTAGTTATCTCTTCTTTGCCACGATGTCAACATTTTATTGACTAAGAGATCATGGGTTCAAATTCCCTTGAAACTCAATTTTATAAAATTTAAAGTTTCACATGCCATAGATGGAATGGTCGCACCTACATATGAGGGGACATGTTAGAATATCAAAATAGTTTCTAGAACACAATCATTAAGATATTATACTTTTGGTTGAATTAATTCATTCCAAAATGTGAATTTGTAAAAGTGATTGAAAAAATAAAGGGTAGATAGGGTTTAAATAAGAGAGAGAATGTTCAAACATGATTGAAAAAAAATTTAAAAAAAAGTGGTTAAAAAGATAGATATATTATATTGGTACCATAATTTTAAAAACCGAATTGGCCGGTTCAAAGCGGGAACGGGCACACCGGGTTCCAAACCGGTCCGGTCCAGTGCTTCAGACCGCAATCATCATTGAACCGGTTAAAAGCATTATAAACTAATGAAAACCGGCCGGCTAATACACCGATTACTTTTACAAAAAAAAGCTCGTGCCACAACCACAAGCTTGAGCTTTTGGTTGATTTGGTTCTTTAACATGGTATCGGTGCTTCTAAAAGGTCACGAGTTTGAAACTCAGTGCCACCCAGTTAAAAAAACTAAAGTTTCACGTCAAGACTCGAAAAAACTATCCCTGCACGTGAGATGGCGTGTTAGAATATAAAAACCTTTCATGTGCCACCACCACAAAGTACTCTGTAATTAGTGGAATGCAGATAAAATGATGAGCTCAATCCCTAAGAATCCCTTCATACTATACCCGGCCCCGAGGGATGGTAATTGAGAGAGATAAATTGGATTTTGATCATAGATTGATTATAAGTAATGAAACTTACACCTCGTACAACTTTAGATAACCTAAGCTTATTGTAATTGTTTTCTAACACATTTATCAGGGATTAAACTCAGATATTGAAAACATGAGAATTTTTATTAAAACATTTTTGTCTGATCGTGTAGGCAACGGCAAAAATGATTCGAGGAATATTAAAGAACACAAGCATTACTATGTCAAACATGATTGGTCCGGTGGAAGAAGCAACCTTCCTTAATCATCCTCTCAAAGGCTATGTCTTTGTTGCTGGCGCTCCACAGGTCCCACTCTTCTTTTAATTAAATACTCCCTCCGTCCCATGAAACCTTTCTTCTTTCTTTTTTTATCCGTCCCACAAAACACTTCTCATTTCTATTAAAAAGTCACTTTTACCCCTTACTTTTTCATACCCTAACTATCACATCATACTTTTTTACTAATAATCTATCCATCAAATCATACTTTTACCCATCACATCAAAGGACATTTTTGGAAATTCAATACCAAAATACACTTCCTTAAATCTCTCTTAAAAAGCAAAAGTCCCATGTTTCATGGAACGGAGGGAGTACTAGTTAATCCAATGTGTTTCGACTTTCGAGAATATATTTTCAATTTGAATTTTTTTAATTTAAATAAGATGAATTTCAATCATTGATTTAAATAACTCTCATCGTATATAAACGGTACGTATTATACGTAGTACTTGAATTGCATGCATATATATATATGTGTGTGTGTGTGTGTGTGATAAAATTAATTATATGGAGTAATATAGAAAAAATATTCCACTTCGATCCATAAATAAGAGAAATTTACCTAAATAGAATTAAAACATAATGACTTTTAAAATATAGGATTATATTTTTTATTTTCCAATATAGAATTATTAGTCATTATTCATTAGTCATTATTCAAGTAAATGTCTATTATTACAGGACATTATTCCTTCCACGAGACATTATTAAGTCCTATTTAGGAAATAAAAAAAGTTAAGTCTAACATTGAAAAATGACGTACTCCCTCCGTCCCTAAATAAAGTTTCTCTTTCGTTTTTTCTTTGTCCCTAAATAAACTTCTCTTTTCCCTTAAAAAACCCCTTTTACCCCTTACTTTTTCATACCCTACCTATCACATCATACATTTTTACTAATAATCTACCTATCATATCTTACTTTAACACATCACATCAAGGGTATTTTTGGAAAGTCAACACCAAAATATCCCTCCCTTAAATCCTCAAAAAGTCAAAAATGAAACTTTATTTAGAGACAGAGAGAGTATGTTTTAATCCTATTTAGTGCAATTTTCATTAAATCAAATAATTGTGTTGAATGCAGTCTCTAACGGTGGAGATGGTGAGCTACGTGGACATTATGAGATTGTCGATTGTGGGGGAGAAAGATTTCATAGATGGGAAGAGGCTCAAGTCCTGCATCCTCTCTGCTTTTCACCAAATCTACACTTTGGGTGTAAATTAAATACAATCACTCTCCAACTCTATTCCGTCTGTTTGACTTTTTTTATTTTAATTGGAAAAACTTCAAAAGGTGTTGCTTAATTCACAATTAAATAAAGGGTATTGCTAAATTTGTTCTCTTTTGGGCAAAATCCACTCTTTTTGTACAAAATGGAGAATTACATGTGTCGTTAAAAGATGTGTTGCATCTAAAGTTGAACAGTTGTATTTAAGGGCATAAACTTCTCCTCTTTTCATTTTTCTTTGTCCCACAAAATTCTTTCTTTATATATATATACACACACACACACACTAGATTTTACCCGTGCGATGCACGGTCAAAATAACACAACAATAAATTATTTATTTATGTAAAAAATAAATAAATTAAAATGAGTAAATATGATACTCCGGGTATATAACAAATTTCAGTACATATCACACTCAAGTACGGCCTATTTAAGATGACAAAATCCTTCATAGTGTTTTTAATTATTTGAGAATGCATTATATATAAATAAATAATACATAAATAAATTATACATATAGCGCGAATTATAACTTCTGAAAAACTTCTCTATATGCGACATTTGAAGTGTAGTGTAAAACATTGTTCTCTTAATTGTAACTTAAGATCATGATTCTCAAGTGTAGTTTTTTCGTAAGTAGTAGGCTAGCATGCAATAAATATTGCCTCTAATTTTTTTAATGGTCATTACATAGGAAGTCACGACTGTAAAATTACTTTCTTTGAAACTTGAAAGGAATCCTTTTATCTAAAGGAATAAAAAAGCCTTGGGAATACAACTTCATTATATTATATCCAATTTTTGTATCAATTTCACTTAATTAGAGGTCAAAGTTTGCATGATAAACTACATTTAAAACATAATTAAATATCATAGTGATGGATACCCGGGAATGGGGTATCCAGCCCAGCAGGAGGACAGCCCAGCCCAACTGCGCCAAGGCCCACTTGGCGGGACCAAGACAAAAGACCAGCGAAGAGCGCCTAATTAAATATCATAGTGATGGATACCCGGGAATGGGGTATCCAGCCCAGCAGGAGGACAGCCCAGCCCAACTGCGCCAAGGCCCACTTAGCGGGACCAAGACAAAAGACCAGCGAAGAGCGCCTCGGCAGTACCTTGCACTCGACCCCGGCAGGGTCGGTCATCCTCGGAGCAACAAAGGCCGGCCTTCCGTCCAGAGGTTTCCGACGACAGGTCAGGCGCTCGGCCTCGGCCCTGAGCAGCGAGCGCCCAAGGAAAACTTCCCAGGGGGTCACCCATCCTAGAATTGTTCCAGGTTAAGCACGCTTAACCTTGGAGTTTCTAGGTGATGAGCTCTCGAAAAGAAGATGCACCTTGTTGGTATGAGTAGTACTATCAATCCTTTTGAGCTCTTCCCATTCCCATCTTGATACGGGTATTACACCTTTTCCCTTCTAAGGGGAGGGGATAGACGTTCTAAGTGATACTCTTACTGGTACAATACTATCCTCAATTTACCTAACCCCATACTTCGTGCACTCTTGAATTAGTTCGATACTCTTTCACCTAGTTATCTAGGCCCCCGGGTTCCATAACCTAACATTGGTGCTCTCAATGAGAGTGTTGAACATATCAAGCCTGCTCCAAAGAAAATGGTGGCGTCAAGAAGAGTGACTAGGTCGTCTACCGCCAACGTCGGTGGTGGTCTCAAGATGACCGTCACGGCGCCGATCGGTGCGGGCCACGACGAACTGGACATCAGCCTCAATGACGTCGCCAGCCAGAATACCACTGATCTGCGTCACCGCATTCCCAGGCGGCGGACGACGAATGCTAGGGGTCTCAGGCGCCAACCCAGCAGGTGCCCACCCAGGGCGCCAATGTTCTAACTCAGCCTTCTCCCAACGGGCTTGTGCGGGGGGGGGGGCATGGTGTTGCCCGGTGATTTTAACTCACCATTTTTCCAGTCGGGGAGACCTCTGGTGCGAGGACCCCAGGTCCAGACCCTAGCGGTTTCTGGGGCATGATGAGGGCAATGATGCTCAATCAGCCCATGACCGGTTTCTGCATGCCGGTCACGATGTCGCAGCTGACGTTCCAGCCTGACAGACGCCGTGAGGTCCAGCAGAACGTGGTGGGAAGTGTGGAACTTTTCGCCCAACACCTGAAGAATCTAATGGCGGACTCCTGCCTGAATCCTTCGCCCGAGGGACCTAAGAACAAGGAGTTTAGCCGATCCCAGCAGCGGGACAAGGGCAAGGGCCCGAAGCGCAGGGCCAATAAGAAGCAAGCTAGCCATCGGGACAAAGAGACGGTGATCAAGCGCCGTGAACCCCTTAAGGAAGGACAAGGTGAGAGTGAGTCGCATGTATCTGTGTTCAGCCGGATGCGAGTGCCGGTCACAAAATGGCTGTATGGCCGACGGAATACCTTCCTGCAGAACGAAGCGGGGAAGACCAGGATGCCTTGCGAGGAACAGTGTGACCGAAACAGAGAGGTCCATCCAGAAAGGCCAAATTCCCGGGTCGAGCAACCAGTCCAACATCCGGTTCTGAGAGCGCCGCGAAGGACGCCCGTCTCGATGGACGTGGGCACGGGCAGATCTAGGGACGAACGCATCGATCTTCTCTTGAAAAGGCTGGACGCCTTAGAAAAAAGGAGTGGGCCGGGGCAGGAGGCCAAACCCATGTTCAGACTACGTTCTCCTTTTTCGGAAAGGATCTTCAGGGCACAACTGCCGAGCAGCTTCCAGATGCCCCCAATACGAAGGTATGACGGAACTACCTACCCACAAGAGCACTTCAACCGGTACCAAACCCTCATGAACGTGGTGACGTTCTCCGAGGAAGTTCTTTGCAGATCGTTTCCCGCCACTCTCGACGGGCTGGCATCTGAATGGTTCAATGAATTGCCCGAAAGGAAGATCGAGTCGTGGGAAGACTTGGCGCGAAGATTCCTGGTGCACTTCGCCGGCAACAGGAAGAAGAAACTGCATTTTTCACACCTCTTGTCGGTCCGGCAGAGACCCGACGAGCCACTGAGGGAATTTCTAGCAAGGTGGAAGCTGGAGACCACCAGAGTTTACGGAGCGGATGACCAAACCAGGCTATCCACTTTTCATCTGGTCTTACGATCGGGGGACTTCTCCAAGCGTCTGGCCTTAGAGAAGCCGATAGAGTATTCCATCGCGCTGGCCATGTCAGAGGAAGAAGCCGAGACAGAGGAGTTGGAGGCAAATAAGAAGAAGGAAGAAGCAGGGAGGCTGGGTTCAATCGCGATGGCAATGAGGCCTACACCGAGGAAGGTCACCATTGATGAGCGACCACATTTGCTAGTCAAAAACCGCTTCCGGAAGGGTAGGGACCCGCACGACCGACGATCGCACGGAAAAGATGTATATGAAGAAGGGGGTGAGGACAGGAGACATTATCCCCCTAGAGGTCCTAAGTTGTTGTTTCTCGATGAGCTCACGCCGCTTACTCATCCCGTAAGCGCCATCCTGGATTTCGCCGAGCATCAGGGCTTGGTGGAGTATGACCCGCGATTCCCTCCGATTTGCACCGTCGGTGAGGGTCCTTACTGCAGGTTTCACAGAGCAGCTGGTCATGACACGGACGCGTGTAAGGTCCTTAAGAGGGAGATCGAGAACCTAATCCATGCGAGATATTTGCGACAGTTCGTCAAAAAGAAGAACACGTGGCGCAAGGACGACAGAAAGAAGAGCGGGGACAACCGAAGGAAGAAACCGGCGGGAACTCAGCAGAAGAAAAGAAAGGAGATAGGCCTGCCGAGCGACGAGGAAGAAGAGGACGACCCTAGACAGAAGAGGATCGAAGAGAGCCGGATGATCTACGGTGGTAACATCGGAGGGGATAGTGCTGAACAAAGGAAAAAATGGGTACACTCGGCCTACGTCGGGGACGTTCGCAGTGCACCTGGACCGTCGAAGGTTGCAAAGACAGAGCCCCTCTTGTTTGGTCCAAAGGACCTGCCTGAGATCCCATCACCCCACAGAGACGCCTTGGTCGTCAAGTGCGAGATCAACGAGGTGGTAATCCACCGATCCTACGTTGATAATGGGAGCTCGGTCAACATCATGTATGTGAAGACATTTGAGGAACTGGGGTTAAAGAAGGAACTCCTGAAGAGAGTAAAGACTCCCTTGTCTGGATTCACAGGAGACATCATCGACTCAGAAGGCCTAATCGAATTCATGGTAGTGCGACTCCTGGGATCCCACAATCTGATTTTGGGTCGGCCTGCACTTGAAGATCTCGATTCCGTAACGTCGGTGAAGTATCTAAGCATGAAATTCCCTACCGATTCGTGAATAGGAGTGTGCCGAGGAAACCAGAAACTCGCCCGACTCTGCTACCAGAAGCAAACAAAGAATATGGACGCCCAGGATCTCAGAGTGGACAGTATTGCCACGGCACTTTTGAAGGAGGAAGAAGGTCGTCCTCGAGTTGAGCCAGCCGAGGATACAAAATATGTGGTGATAATGGAGGAGCATCAGGAGAAGAAGATCAAGCTCGGTACTAACATCAGTTCCGAGTTTCGATCAAAGATCATACAGGTACTCAGGGAGAACTTTGCGGTGTTTGCATGTAGTGTCGAGGATATGCCGGGAGTTAGCAAATCCCTGATCACCCACCGCCTCGCGATCGAAGCAGACGCGGAGCCCATAAAGCAAAGAAGGCGACACTTGAGCAAAGACCGGAGGGATTTCGTGAAGAAGGAGGTGGACATGCTCCAAGCAGCGGGGCATGTCAAGGAGATTAAATACCCCACCTGGCTGGCCAACGTTATGCTGGCACGGAAGGGGGAGACATTCAGGATGTGTGTGGATTACACTGACCTGAATCGAGCTTGTCATATGGACCCTTTCCCTTTGCCCAACATTGATCAAATGATCGACGAAACGGCCGGGTGCGAGGTCATGTCTTTCATGGATGCATTCAGAGGATATCACCAAGTGTTCATGCACGAGGAAGATGCCGAGAAGACGACGTTCCTCACCCTCGAGGGGGTGTATTGCTATTTGGTGATGGCATTCGGGCTAAAGAACAGTGGAGCCATGTATACAAGGATGGTCAGCCGAGTGTTCCACTCGGTCTTGGGAAAGACGATGGCAGCATATGTGGACGACATGATTGTCAAGAGCAAGAAGGCTTCCGACCATGCGGAGGACCTATCCCAGGTTTTTTCTATTATGCGCAAGTTCAATTTACGTCTTAACACCAAAAAATGTACGTTTGGTGTAGAAGGTGGCAAGTTCTTGGGTTATCTCGTGAGCCGACGAGATATTGAGCCCAACCCTGAGAAGGTCAGAGCGATCCTAGATATGGAGGCCCCCCGCTCCATAAAAGAAGTACAGCGCCTGACGGGAAAGATGGTCGCACTCGGCCGATTTTTATCAAAATCCGCCGAGAAGAGTATCCCTTTCTCCGGCACACTGAAGAAGGTTCCACAATTCCAGTGGACACCCGAGTGCCAGGCGGCATTCGAAGAGCTGAAGAAGTATTTATTAACGCCGCAGGTGCTAGCAAAGCCGATCAAGGGCGAGAAGCTGTACCTTTTCTTGGGCGTCAGCCCTGGGGCCATAAGTTCCGTTTTGTTACACGAAGAAGGGGATGCTCAGCGCCCCATCTATTATGTTAGCAGAACCTTGAGGGATGCCGAGCTCAGATACTCGGTGGTGGAAAAAATAATCTTGGCCGTCGTCAACACGGTCCAGAAGCTGAACCATTACTTCCAAGCCCACGAAGTGGAAGTGAGGAGTCATCAGCCTCTGAGCATCGTCATCAGAAATCCGACGGCCTTTAACACGGTCATCAAGTGGTCTGTCTATCTGAGTCAGTATCAGATAGATATGAAGCCGAGAGCAGCAATCAAAGCCCAGGCCTTGGCCGATTTCATGGTGGAATGTACGGCACGTGACAACAACCCCATACCAACGGACGATGAGGGAGAGTGGTGGACTTTGTCTACTGATGGATCATCAGCTGCAAAGGCTTGCGGTGGGGGCGTGGTAATCCAATCACCTGAAGGATTCCGCTCCTATCATGCAATAAAATTCTAATTCAAAGTGTCCAACAACGAAGCCGAGTATGAGACGTTGCTGAGTGGCCTGAGGCTCATCCTCAACCTGAAGGCTGAGTACGTCAGGATCAGGTTGGATTCGCGCCTGGTCGTCAGTCAAATCAAAGGAGAGTTCCACACCAAGGAGGAACGAATGCGTCTATACAAGGAAGCGGCCCCGGAATTGCTCAAAATTCTTAAAGGATACGAGCTTGTACAGATCCCGAGGGCAGAAAACATCGAGGCCGATGTTCTATCCAAACTGAGCAACGACGACCCCGAACACATCTCCAAGATGGCCCGTGTTGAGGACCTGGGATCTCCGAGCATTCACGTGTAGCTCATTTCTGTTATCACCGAGGAAGACAACGACTGGATCGTAGCATTAATCCGATAAAAGAAGGATGGGACTCTCCCGGAGATGAGACGACGGCCCGCTTGATCATACGGAGGGCACCGTCATATGTCATTGAGAATGGCCGGCTATACAAGAGATCATATAATGGCACATTGCTAAGGTGTGTTGATGAAGCCAGAGCGGGGCAGATCATGGAAGAAGTCCACGAGGGAGTATGCGCGGCGCTTCAAGGTCCTTTCTCCATGGCCAGACGCATTGTCCTGCAGGGATACTTCTGGCCGACCATGGTGAAGGACTGTGCCAAGCGCGCCAAGCGATGCAAAGTGTGCCAAATATTCCAGAACATCCCGGGAAGACCGGGAACCAGCTATCATCCCATCAGCTCGTCGATCCCTTTTGCTCATTGGGGGATAGACCTGATAGGACTAATGCCGAGGGCACCTAGTAACTTCCGTTGGATCATTGTGGCTATCGATTACTTCACGAAGTGGATTGAGGCCGAGCCCTTGGTGGGAGGAACCTCGGAATAGTGCTCGAAATTTGTGAACAACAACATACTCTGCCGATACGGTGTTCGAAAGCAGATCACCACAGACAACGGAACCCAATTTGAAGCTGGGGATTTCAATGAACTTTTGGGAGATTGGAAGATAAGGCACACCTACAGCTCTGTGGCTTACCCGCAGGGGAACGACCAAGTCGAGAATGCCAATCGAACAATCATGGACGGGATCAAGAAGAGGCTTGAGTCCTACAAGGGAGCGTGGGTAGACCAACTCCCCAACGTGCTATGGGCATACCGTACCACTCCGAGGAGGGCAACTGAAGAAACGCCGTTTTCCATGTGCTACGGCCTGGAAGCGAGAGCGCCCTCGGAGGTGTTCATCCCAACATGGAGAAAAGAGAACTGTGGAGCCAAGGAGAACGAGGAGACCATGGCAGCTGATCTCAATTTCATTGAAGAGCGCCGGGAGCAAGCTTTCCTAAAAGCAGAGAACTACCGAAGGCAAGTCAAAGAATATTACGACCGCAAGGTCAGAGCAAGGGAATTCCGAGTAGGGGACTTGGTACTCAGGAAAAGGGAAGCCAGCCAGCCTACAGAAGGGGGAAAGTTTGCCAAAAGCTACGAAGGACCATACAAGGTTAGAGCTGTGCTCAGGCCAGGCACCTACAAGCTCTCCACGCTTGAAGGTCGCGAACTCAGCAGGCACTGGAACACGCACAATCTTATTTTTTTCTACATGTAAGGCGTTGAGAACCATAACCAGTCGGCCTCGGTAGCTAAAAAAAGAGTTAAGGTACCAGAAGGCTAACCTTTTTGTGGAATCCATCCACCAACCCTTGCAAGGACGAGAGGATCTCGTCCTCATCCTTCAACACCGCGGACAGGGATGCGACCTCGGCCTCGGCATTTACATCCCCATCAACCTTGTCAAAGGAAGTGGGACGCTTCCCATCCTGAGGACCAGTCGGCCGTTTGCTCAACGGACCTTGGCTCAGAACAGTATCCAGCTCGGACGCGGTATCTTCATCCTCGACTTTGATAACCTTCCTCTTTCTCAGGTTCCTGGTCGGAACCGTCTCCAAGTTCGAGATGGAAGCAGCAGATCGAGTTGCATCCTCGGACGATGGTTTTTGTTGGACCCCTTCTCCTCTGCTGCGATTGCGGGCCAACAGCTTGGCCTTGCGGATAACATCCACCGGATTCATATCTCCTGCCGAAACAAAACAACAGTTAGAAGACACCAAACAGGAAAAACCTGCCGAAACAAAACAACAGTTAGAAGCCACACAATTACTGCCTTCCTTTACTCAAGCGAGAGATCCACAGTACGCCATCCAAATCAATTACTTGATTAGAATGCTTTGGGCTCTATTTTTCTACTCTTTAAATGCATGGGTCCTGGATAACGACAGGCAATGAAAACATATCCCCATAATATATTTTCTTCTTTCCACGGCTTTTCTTTCACCAGTATTTCCCAGGTTCCAAACAAACTCTGAACTTCCTCTTCAAAATGTCTTAAAATAAAAGACAAGCCATTGTGTTTGCCGTGACAAGTGGCAGCAGAAAGTTTTTCTTAGGCACTGATAGTGCTCCACATGATCAACGGAAGAAAGAATGTCCGTGTGGATGTGCTGGTATTTACAATGCTCCTGTGGCATTGTCGGTCTACACAAAGGTTTTTGAGGACGTTAGATTTTCTAAAACGAAACCATGTTTTCTTCGACCACAGAGCGGCTTTGATGGTTGATTTGTGGCATTATTTTTGTGTCTAGGCTGGCACGCTTGACAAGCTAGAAGCATTTACAAGCTTTAATGGACCTGATTTCTATGGTCTTCCTAGGAACACAAGAAGGATCAAATTGTCTAAAACCCAGTGGAAGGTACCACAATCATATTCCTACGCTTCAGGGGATATCATTCCTATGTTTGCTGGTGAAACATTGGAGTGGCAACTTTCTTCACCCATATGATGATGTTGCGGGAACTCGTCATAATAAAACTCAACGTGGTTGGTGTCGATGAGCTTTTTGCCTAGCCGCAGCCCCCCTCCCCTACTGTCCCAC